ATTCTTTCGGCGCGCTCTCCAACGGATATCCGCGTGGAAAGTATCGGCAGGCATTACGGAAACACCGACGGGAAGATATTTCAGTTTCGCGCGAATCTCTCTCTCAGGTAGTAGTTTCGTCACGTCGATTAACGCTGCGCGAAATAAGATTCCGTCTCGTAGAACGCAAGACGCCGATTGCAAGACCATCAGCAAGGAGCCGACAGCTTGATGTAAGGCGGGAGTTTCAGCGGAGACAACGCACCTCGACGTTTACGCCGGGTTGGGTAAACATCAATATCCTCGGGTTGCTGTCCGGCACGTATCGGAAGAACTCGTGCTCGTCCTTGTACCATTTAACCGAGTAGAGCACGTTGCCTCCCAGCAGTCGCCACTCACACATCAGCTCGACAGAGGAACCCACCACGGCTTCCTTCGGCACCTTAAACTCCACTTTGATCTCGCCACCTGAAACATGAGCGCATTCACTTTGAGCATTCGTGCAAAACGGGTGACCTACTATAAGATGAAATCACTGATTTAGGCTAAGAAGAACCCGAAGAAGGCAAACTTTAACGTCACATCGGACGATTAATGTGTCGGATTAGCGGGGATTACGCGCGAAAGCTTCTTGGAGAGAAACGGAGGGAGAAAAATCTTTATTTCGAAATACTTCATTTTCCGTGATTTTGTAATTTTTCCCATTCTCGTTCGGCGATTCGTCAGCCAACGTTTGTGCAGTAATTTTTCATCCTCCGATCCTGTAGTGCTCGCTGTAGTTGCACCAGGATACTCTCTTCCAGGACACGCGAACTATAAAATTGGGAAGGACGCAAGGTTGGTTTTGAAGGTAGCCCGGCTTTCACGAATCGCGATCTCGAGCACGCTCTAATTCTCAACCCTGAATAGGGTCCCCAATCTCGCAATTCGCGCAATTTCGGGGTCCTATTTCGTTAATCCGCGGGCGCACGGACACGAGAGGCGACGTTTATAGTCGCGGTCGCCTCGCAATTACCGCCCACGTCTGTCAGCCGAATGCGGGCACGGACGGTAAAAGGGTGGCGTGTGTTAAGCGCGAGAATAAATACGCGGTTACCGGGGGTTACGGGTCGGGGCAAACGCCACTGCGAGTTTCGCACCGGCGATCCCCCGAAGTTCCCTTCCGAAACTCGCACTTCACTGTACATACACAGATAGCAGAAGCTGCATGGAGTTATTGCCGTAGAAGCTCGTAGAATAGGCGTTTCGCGAACGAGCGCGAGCGAGCTTTCGGGTCCGATGGAAAAATATACGAGCGAAGCGTAATATTATTATTATTACCTGTTTATATTTACGGAAGAATTCCCTTTGATGCAATCGATTACACCGATATATAATTTTGTAAAGTAAAAAAAAGTAAAAAAAAGAGGAGAAAGATAAGGTGCAAGAATTTACGTTAAGGAAGATAAAATAGAGAAAGTATTATAACATTTTTAGGATGCGTATATTTTTGAAATTATTGAAATAACGCAGCAGAAAGCCTACCTTTCTGTAAGCCACGGATACAATCATGCACGTGACAATATACAATATATAACAGTATAATATATATATATGTGTGTGTTAACACAGGCGTAAAATAATTATTCAACTAATGAAGAAACTCACCCGACAGCTGATTGACTGATTTAAGTAGCGGATAATTAAATGTGATATTCCTCGGGGAGAAAGATGCGCAAAGAACGCGGGAGACGCGCGTAATTAACGAGACATTCGTGTCAGCGTCGGATCACCTCGCTCTGCAGCGAAGTATAATCCGGCATTTCGCCGTCGTCGCGTCACACCCGCATACCCCCGTCGTTAATATTCGAAAATCCTTTTGAGACATCGCCGGGGCATTGTGAAATGCCTTATTAACCGACTAGCCGCTGCGCGCTCTTATCTCGTTCATATTGAGATAATCAGGAGGCGTCGCGACGCGCACCGCTGAATAATCCCGGTTCGCGTCGGCCGTGGCTCATAACGGGACGCATTATGACGCTATAATGAAGTTCTTTAGTAACGCGAAAACGTCAACGGTGCGCACCGGGAAGATTTATACGGAGCCGGGGCGTGTACGTTAACTCGGCCGGATGGGTCATAATACGGCGCGCATCGGGTTAATTTCGGGGCCCGGGTGGAGAGTGGCCGGACGGACGGTGGTGGCGGGCGGGATGGCGAGGAAAGCGCGCACGGGGATCACGAGCGTGTTGGGTTTAAGTGCGGGGGCCGTTGTCGTTAAAGGTCCATCGAGCGGAATATAGAGACCTCGCTCTCCGCATTGCCCGGCCGGCGTCCGCAATTTACAGTGCCGCGTGTTAAGATTTAATGACGCGCGAATTTCGGCCTCGCGAGTTAAGGTCTCAAAGAGCGCGCAGGGTCGGCCGTGAAGCTCCCTCGAGCGAGAGAGGGAGGGAGAGAGAGAGAGAGAGCAGCAGAAAGCGCGTCCGTGAGTTATGATTCCCCGGCGCGTCGGTAAGAATAAATCTTAATTTTCGCGCACGAGGGCCATACGGACTTTTATAATGCCGCTGCGAATAATATGTGGTATAACCGCGCGGCTTGTTTATCACAAATCGTTTGCCGGTTGTCAAATTTATCGATCGTTAAAATAAATTTATCGCTCATAAATTTATGTCTGATCGAAATACATCCCGCCACCGATTATTTTCCCGAGCAATTCTCGAACGTGAAGGAACATTGAAATGCTTCGTACGAAGCGAGACGGGTGTTGTTCACAGTGTGGGAAAAGTTTTCGCAGCTAATATACAGACTCAATACGGGACACTGCGATGACGTCCCGCGGAATTAGCCTAACCGTAGTGTCAGTCGCAGCTGTTTCCGGTGCCGCGGTTTGCGTTTCGCGACGCGTTTTCGAACGGGGCGTCTCTCACCATCATCGCTTTCTCTCTATATCTCTCGTCCGCGTGTCGTCAATTTCCGTCGTTACAACGACCGAGTCGTTACGTTGCCAGTGGAGTTTGACATCTCATAGCTGAGACTGCATCACTGACATTTCCGCGCCATTTATCAACGGCACCTGCCGTATTGAAAACTGTTTCGTCGCGACCGGCCGATCGGAAAGGAAAGAAGGCGCCATCGATTTTAGTCGCGTGGGCTTTCAATCAGGACGGATTTTAATCACGCGCGATACACGAGTATCATGTGGATCGTCTACTTGCGCCCGGTTTGTGCGCAAAGTGAACATTCCGGGAATATTTCTTGAATGGTAAAATCATCAATTTCACGCTAAGCCTTCTGAAATGTTCACACGTGCCATACGATAGGTTTGCTTAATCAGAAGTCGATCGTCCCTGCGGCAAAATCCGATTGAGAACTTCCTCTTCTTAGAAAAAAGAAAGAAAGAAAACGGGAGTTTCCCTCGTCGCCGAAAGAAGCCGCAAGACAAAGCTCCCTTCGGAGTGCGTTGAAAGTAGCGACGGTCCGTTATCCGCGTTATCGTCTTGCGCCGAGTTCCCTATAATCTCATCCTCTCCGTCTGTTCGTTACTATCTCGGGAAAGACGGCGTATTACGCAAAGGAGCGTCCGATTGTCTCGATCAAAGTCTCTCGCGAGTCGCCTCATATTGCTGTCGGGTTTCCTTCGCATTCTCTGGACCGTCGACGGGAATATTTCTTGCTCATCGCGGACGTTAAAGCTAAGTCTCTCAAGCCGTCCGGGTCTTTCAACCGTTTCCTTTACTGTCTGATCTCCGCCGGATTCCATTCAAGTCATGCAAGACTCTTCTCGCGAATTGAAATCGAATGCCTGGGCTACCTCCTCCGCCTTTGCGACTCTCGTCTGTACCGCCGCCGCCATTCGCATGAAATTTATCTCTAAATAAGGTAGACATCCCCGCTCTAGATTTGCGATTTCTCATCCGCGAAGCAGAAACGTTGTGCCAAGTCAAAAACATTTGCCGATGCAAACTTTTCTTCCTTTCGCCCCGCGAAGCGGAATAATATTTCTGACAAGAGAAGCGCGGCTCTCGTCTTATTGTTTCACCGACAGGCATTATTGCCCCGACTTTTCGCACAGCCGCGTACGTGCGGGCGACAGAGTTTACATATAGATTTCATTAAATATATGAATATTCAGAGAGAAGCACGCCGTTCGAACTTCGATAGTCAGACGCCGAATGAAAATTCCGAAGAAACAAGGCTCCCCGTAATTAATAAAATATAACGTCTCTCGTGCACTGTCCGGTAGCTAGTTTAAATCCCGGTGAATTTAATCTCTCGTGATTCCCAAGGACGGTCGTTTTTGCTCCTTGACAGCCAGGCAAAATAAAAATTGGCGGCGAGTCTCTTCTCGAGCGCCGTTAGCGCCTTAAGCTGCCGGAAAAATCTTTCAGACTCGGTGGTGTAGCGGCCGATGTAACGCGTAACAAGTCGCGCGGGCAACGGAATAACAAGCCGTTCGCTCATCCGTGCCTCCATCTCCTCGCTCATAATCGGAGCTCGTTAACCGCGCGGGAACGGCCGCGAGAACTGAAGTTTACGGTGCCGTGATTGCGAGCGCTCGTTTTTCCGATTGCAGTCGTTCCCGCAACCAATTTCTGCCGGCCGCGCGGAAGCTTGCGGCAGCGTGATTCGGGAAACGGCTTCCGGCTAGCTCTCGCGAGTCGAAACCTCATTACCGCCCCGAGGCTCGCGCGATTGTGAGATAAATAAGAGAGAATGAGCGGGGGGCTGGTTTACGTGTCTCTCGCCGGGCACACACACGTACACAGAGGTGGGGTATTTCGGGATGTTTTCCTCTGTTTTGCGGATTATGCAAACGCAACGCCGCTACCTTTCGCCGATAGCAGGTCGATGGGAGAAAGACGCGACTGGGGCACTTGCAATTTCGTCGAAAAGGCGCTCTTTGAAGTGGATGTAAACGCGAATGTCTCTTTTTAGGGTGACGCGCGCAAAAGGATTTCCCGGGAAAATGTTCCCGCCCTCGCTCTTATTGCAGATTTCGTTCGATTCTCTGTTCGGCTGCACTCGGTGGAATTTTGTTGATTGACCCGGAAGTGCGACGTAGCTCTCCGCGTTGCTTTGGACGGAGGTGCACGTTCTTTGCTACTTCCTCGTCAACGAGTCACAAGTCGGAGAAAGAGAGAGGGAGCGCTATGGGTGATTTCATGAATATACTTAACGATTTACGAGACTTACATCGTCCGGCCAGACTTAGATGTTAACGTAAATTACACGCGAATATTATACCTTTGTATATACCTTCTGTATATATAAAGAAGTAGCCTCGCGCGCGCGCGCGCGCCCAGGGCTTTACTTTTCCTCTCTTTGATCGAGTAATATCGCTGCTGCGTAAGGGGAACGCCGTAGATCAAGCTGCCCCTGTAACCGGCCAATAAAATATGCAGTCCTCCTCTCGCGCCGTAATGTAAAAGATGAAACTTGTATTTTTCTTCGCCGCTGGGGAAGCTGCGCCCTTTATTTCATCC